AATAGTGAGGTAGTTATTGGAAAATATGCTCTTGAAAAAGAGATTGATAAGCTTACACATTTTTGGACATTATGTGGGCTTTCTTGTCAAGATTGTGGATTACACTGCCTTAAAAATCATGGTCATACTGACTATCATGACTGCAGGACTAATCATGAATGCCATTTCTCATGTCAATTTGTAGAGGCACATAGTTCTTTTATTCCAACTTGTAGTTATAGAGCAGGACATGATGGGAAACATGCATGTAATAAAACCAGTCATTTATGTGGAAAACCCTGTAAACTTATTGATAAACGTAATTGTCAAAAAATTTGTTCTAAAGATATTGGACATGATGATGGATTTGAAGATGATGAACATATGTGTCAATCAAATCGTCATAATTGTGGAGAGCCATGCTCACTCTTTACATCAACTGAAAAAGGAGATTATGAATGTCCAAACAAATGTATTATACCATGTGAGGGTGAACATGAGCAACATCACTGTGAAAATGAGACATGTCCAATTGAATGTCCAATCTCAGATTGTCAGAGAAGATGCCAAAGTAATGATCATTTTCATGCATATACTCAATTTGCAGTTGATCATTTTTGTGGTAATGATCATCAATGTATCGAGGATTGTGAAGAACCAGGCATTTGTAAAATTTTAACAGAACCAAGGAAAGAAGAAGCAACTTATCAAGGGCTGATTACAGAAACTTCAATTACTTTTACCAAGTATATTCAACAAAGTGAAAGGATGAGATGTAATAAAAGAATACCACCAAACTCCTTCAAGCATGAAGGAACACATTCACATGATGAAAATGGAGTTCATTTTTGTGATAAAAAATGCCAATTTTGTGGATATTATTGCAACTTACCTCATGGACATATACAAACTTTGCACGAAACTACTCATGGGAATATGGTACAGACTGTATTCACTTCAGAGGATGATGAATTTGAATATAGTCATCATAAATTAAAAATTGGAGATCAAGGTTCTTTTGTTCTTTGTAATCTTCATTGTAAAGAATTAGGTCGTCATAGACATATTGACTATTGTCAAAATGTGGAGGCATGTAAAAATGGACAACAAGGGCATGAAATAATACATTTAGATGGTATTTATTCTTTTCATTTTATTTTATGAAAGTTCTTATGAAAAAATTTAAAATCTAATGTTAACTATTAAAATGATCAGCACCCATCAAACCCAATCCTGATCAAAAAAAGGATTTTGTAACTCATAAATTATTTTGGGAAAGAACTGGCTTTAAAGATCCATATTCAATGCAAGAACAAGCAGAATTTGCAAAATGTGATCATGAATGTCCAGATGAAGCTCACTATAAGCAGCAAGGTTCTAATGGTGCAACTCCCACAAAGTCTTATTGTGAATTGAGACTTTTCCATAAACCTTTAAATCCATCATCCGGTACATCAACTGGTATTGGTTACATTTCACTGGATGGCCATCAGTTCAGTTGTGATAATCCAAATAAAAGAGAAGCAACATTTCACATTATATTTGCACTTGATCGATCATCTTCAATGGGTAATAGTGATAGGAGACCCTTGGAAAACATTCGTTTGAGCATCTATCAAAAAATTATACAAAAACACAACAATAGAATAGGCGCAGTATACTCTGCTGTAATTATTTAATATTATTTATTGTTGTTTTAACAAAATTTCAAAACTTATCTTTTTTCTAATCATTATCAATATAGATTTATTCATTTATGGAAGCACGCCTTACATCTCAAAGGAATCAAACTTGGGGTGCTGTTAATAAAGATACTATTTCTTTAATTTTGTTCAACAGTAGTACTATTGTACCAATTGAAAATCAACCATTAAGTGATGTAGATAAACTTTTAGACATTATGATTCAGCATAGTGCAAGTGGTGGAACTAATGCTGATTTGGCAATACAGAAAGCAGGGTTACTGATTGATAAATATTATGATCCTTCAAAGTAACTTAAATATCTGTTTTATTGATTTAAAATTGGATTTAATATAATAATACATTTAACTGATTTAGATTTTAAATATTTCAAGGACAAATATTATTGTATTTTTGTCAGGTGGTGAATGTGAACCACCAGATGCTCAATTAGAAAATATTTGTAAGGCCAATCAACAAAGAGGGTATGTAATTTAATTTATATTGTTTATGTATAAATAATAAATAAAATAATTATAATTAAAATTTTTTTTACTAATTTATTAGGTCACCATTATATCTTTATACAGTTTTATTTAGCAGTGATTCTTCTAGTCCACCATTATTAAGGATGTTACAAAGTTTTGGCAGTGATTCTTCTGGTATATCATTATTAAGGATGGCTATTATTGCACAAGAATATCTTCCAGCTAATTCCTCCCAATCTTTAAAATGTCAATTCACTGAAGCTATTGATGAAATAGATTTGGCTAATCATTTTATTGTTCTTGCAGAAAGTTTAAGAAGACATAAGCCTTCTTTAATGAAAAAATTGTAAAATAGAAAATAATATAGCAATAATGAAGGTTTTTTAAAAGTTGCTTTCAAACAATTTAAATAAAAATTCTTGAATATGGGACTATGGTCACAGGTCATGGATCATAAAATTCAAACAATCTCAGTGGTATGAAGTGTTCTAATTTATTTTGTAAATTTTGTACAAGATATACACTCCCCTAAAAAAAGTATCGACTCACTTGATGATCCGCGAAAATAATCGGGTAAACGGGTAGTACAAATACTCGATTTTCACTAAGCAAATTGATGTTGTGTATTAGTGAAAAAATGTTCACTAAAATAATTTCTATAA